GTACTTGTGCCAGAGGGTGAAAGAGCCTTATTATCTGCTTTATTTATCAGTCGTCTGACCAGATCGGGTGCTTATACGCCGAAAACATATTTCTGATTGGTAATAGACTCCTGCTCGGGTGCACGTTTTTGACTTGAGTAAGCAGTCGATCATAGGCGAAATATCTATGTCTTCTTGAATGAAACAACTATAACAGTTGTTATCAAGGTCGTCATGTGATGTATCTTTGTTCCCCGTACGTCACCTCTATTCCCGAACTGCTCCAGTATGGGCTGCGACTCACAGCAATGCCTCTTCACGATGCTACCAGGGATCTCATTCTTCTCAATCAGCAACGTTTGAGCGATGTCGAAATGAAGTAAGCTTTGTGAATTCTAGGTGAACAAATTCAAACGAAGCCATGACATTGAAAACATTTTCTTATCTCTCACAAAAGGTAAATGGCCTTTCTTTTGCAGCCTCCAGCTAGAAGCCAACAACGAACAGCTTGAATCCATGGCTAAGGATCTAGAAGTTGAAAAGGGCAAAACTGATGCACTTCTCAGTGAAATGTTGCCAGCTACTGTAGCTCATCAGCTGAAAGCTGGACAAACTGTCGAAGCCCGTGAGTTCTATCTCAAAAAATAAAATCCACAAAATCAAATTGAATGGTTTAGGTGAGTACGAATCAGCCACCATAATGTTCTCGGATGTTCCATCGTTCCAGCAAATCGTACCGCTTTGTCAACCAAAAGATGTTGTTTATCTTCTCAACAATTTATTCACTCGCTTTGACCGTCTAGTAGTTCTGCAAAAGGTATATGAAGAATGCTAGTAATTGTAGCAGCTTCTCAACCAACAGTTTCAGGCTTACAAGGTGGAGACAGTGGGGGATAGCTATATGTCCGTTGGAGGTATTCCTGACTTGGTAGATGATCACTGCGAGATTATTTGCCACTTGGCGCTTGGTAAGCAGTAAATTTGACTATAATTTGTGGCAGTCTTGAAACATGAGATTTACAATTCAAAATAGTATTATTTGATAGACCAAAGCAAGCATTATAAATGCAGCTTTTAGGCAGCGGCTCTTCAGAATTTCCTTTTCCAGTTTTTCAGCTTTTCGGGACATTCTCGCCTTGAGGAACCCATATCTGGGCTTTGCCGTGCATGAAAATGGCGGAAATAAGCTTTTTTCTGAAGCTTTTTGGGCCGCATTTAGTGGAAAATACGCGTATGGATGGGGTCCAAAACAAACTTCCGGCGACTTTCATTGATCTCGGACCTGGAAAGCTCTACAAAAAGGCTCATTTTTGCCATTTTCATGCGCGGCAAAGCCCAGATATGGGTT